TCTATTGATACGTAAGATGGTAATTAATAGTTTTTATCAAGATGTTCAAAGAAATCTATTTAGAAAAGCCTGACATGCTGTGAAACTTAAAATATTTTACTTCAAATTCCTCAAAACTAGGTATTACGCAGATAGAACTTTGTAACTCTTGGGTAGCAAATTGTGTAGGAACAGACCCGCAAGGAGGGAGGGGGTGGGGTAAAGTGTGAAATCAATTAAGTAGTAAGAATGAATAAATAGCCCTAGTATAGGGCAAAACCCCGGTCAACAACAAGCTATATGCGTTTGCAATCTATATTAGATTGCCAGAACGGCCAAAATAGCACCTAGACATGAATGGCTGGTGCCTGTATCAATAGATTATTCATAGTCAGTTGGTGAATAGAGGCAGACAGCTCAACAGCTGCGATCAATGACGAAAAGGGAAACAAAGTCAATGACCTCGAGAGGAACAAAAACAAGCGGCTTGACAACTTCAAGGATCTTTTATACGTAGGGTGGGAGGCTGGCGGGTACTCTCATGTGGTTTGGTCCTTTCCTATCAAACATCCATCGACCTGATCTCTCCCCTTTCTCTTTTTTATGTTTGTTACTCTCTTCCATGACTTCTAATCGTTGGCACTTCTATGACCTTATTGTGTTGCAAGTGTCTCAAAACTCTTGTTAAACCTTAATCTTTTACAGAGAAGTGCAGGCATTCTAGAAGTAGATAAAACTGAAGCTGACTATACCTGTGCTTGCTAACCTGGACTGTTTCGTCCACTCGCGAGTGGTGTGGTGGTTGAGGTTTCTATGGGCGGGATGGATCACCCGTGTAGTGACAGGTACAATTCCATGGCCTGCTAGGAAATTTATGGAGGTGGGAGCTACGCAAAATGTCAGTGTGCGTCTTAAAGACGGGAAAATTAGGTGCTGGCTATGAAAATGTTCATAAGTACTGTTGTAGACGTGGGAGGGCAAGAAATAGACCAAGACTAATTCCAACCAGCATTCCCGGAGGAGTAAGAACCGATTGCAGTTAAATCGGAAGTTCAGGAGGCAGTTAACACAAGTCAAAGAACAAAACAGTACTGTTGGCGTTTTTCCAAGCGTGGGAGGTGGAGGTGGAGGTGGAAAGGGGGGGGGGGGAGACATCAGCGATCAATAATCAATCGGTTGGCCTCAATATTTTAAACAGAATTGGAGGGGAAAAAAGCGTAAGAAGATTGGCAGAAAGAAGTGTGTCAGGACACGGTGGAATCAGTCGCTCGTCAACTTGTGTGCATATTATTATTATGCAGTTATGTCTAATACAGGGTGCCCACTTCGGATGGGATCGGGCGATCGGCCCAGTCGCCTCAAAAACAAAAGTGTTTGTTTTCAGTTTCAGGTGACGAAGTCGGGCGATCGTCCCGATCCAACAGTAGTGGGCACCCCGTATTAGAGCCTGTTCAATTGCTTTGCTTTTGGTAAAAAAAAATACCCATCTATCTTGAATGAAAAGAAGTCGAGAGTTTTGTGATTAAAGGAGTTGGGGTCGCCTGGAGTCAGAAGTAAAATGAGCGAGAAGTTAGCTGTCATAGTTTGGTGACTTCCAGAACTGTGGTTTTCATGGAAACTACAATTTATATTTTGTGACTTAAATCAACGTTTTTCAGTAAAACTCCACACAAAAATGTGTTTTAGATTTAGATAAAAAGTGTGAATCCCCTACCATCGCCACCCCCCCCCCCTCCAAAAACAAACAAACAAAAAACAACGAACAAAACAAAAAAACCAAAAAAAAACCAACAAACAAACAAACAAATTAACAAAACAAAAACAAAACAAGAACGAACACTAAATACCAAACCCTCGATAGTAATTTCATTATTTTGACTAGCACCTGCTTTAATCACAAAGCTACAAGATTTATCTTTTCTAAGTTGAAAATGCCAGTAGGTCTATATAGACTGCGGAGTATTGCAAAGAGAGATTGTACTCAGTCATTTGTTATAAGGTGTTTTACGTCCAGAACAACACAATTCATGTTATTTAGGAGTATTAGGAGGCGGCATTCGAACCTGCTTGTCAGGGTCATCCCTGGCTGAGAGGGATACACCATCACAGAAGAAAGACTGAGATACTCAATTAAAAATTGTTTCACCAAGCAGAAAACCAACTCGGTTTTCCCAACCGCCACACCACAGGCGCCGTTAAACTGTATGCAAAGGTACTAGAAACGAGAGTAAAACTCAAAATGGTTCCCTGTTTGAGTGAAACACACACAAAATTAAGGAAAGGCACAGCGTACACAGAGGCCATATCGTCGCCATCGCGATAAGATCGGATAAGTACAACCTTTTATATTTTACTTTTTTTCGCGAAACATATTTTATAAATCTTGGTTCATATTATGTTGGTTCAGAATCTATATTCAAATGAATAACCAAAAGTGAGCTTTTTTAACATTATGAAAATTGAATAACTCTGAGCCGTCCTTTTAATAAATAAGTTGCTTTTCTTTTTTACTTTCTCCTGAATAATGAACCCAATGTCACTTGTCCGATCTTATCACTACGCCACGATATAATATGTTATGCCCTAAGACAGCTCAGAGAAAAACACTTAAACTTGAAAGAAAGCTGAACATTTAGCTTCGTGGATGAAAAGAAAGCGTTCGACAGCAGTGAACAGAGAGAAATTATGGAGAGTACTGGAAAAGTATACCATCAAAGAGCAATATTTCTAGTCGACGTTAGTTCTAGATACTCCAGCTCAAAAGAACTCAACTTCGCTTGGCTGGCTAAGGAGTAGGAATGCGTGTTTTCAGAGTTTTCGCTGTAGGATTCTGCTCAAAGTCCTCATTGAAGCGTTATGTTTGCGCAACAAACGAAAAAAACCCACCCTACAAAGACACCCTGAAAGACTTATACATTAATATGATATTATAATAAAAGATATTATCCTTCCTCCTAAAATACCCAACTGTAGAGCAGTGATCATAGACGACAGATTAAAATCTAACAACGTTTTAGAAATGAAACATGCTAAAGCCAAGAGAGGAAGCCGCAAGACACGCACGTCCATTGAGGGAAATCAAGATTTTTAAAAGCTCAAAAAGTGGCAAACTCTTCCCTGCCAATGCAGAAACCATAAGTCACACGTCATCTTAATATCGCCTAAGAAATATTCTAATGTTAAGATACATTAGTCATTGTCAGTATAGGAAAAACCATTATTATCATAGATATTGTCATTAGAATATTATCACTACTATTATCACTTCTTTCTGCTGGGACAGTACATCCCTCTTAGCCTGGGCTGGCCGTGGAAGGCAGGGTCAAAGTAAGCCGAAATTTAAATGATCTAAATTCTATGGGGCCGTAAAACCTCTGCAGTAACATTAGATGAACCATCTATAGCAAATCCTGACCTAGATGATCTTAATGAGCAATTCTTTACAGACGATAGCAGCATGACGCACGGCAACGCACATCAGCTCCAAGAACGTGTAAACAACTTACACAAGGCTTGTCAGAGACAAGGCGTGAGGATCAGCACAGGCGAGACTATGCTGTTCTGGAGGTGTCATCTCTGACTCAGATTCTAACGTGTAATGACTCTCACCTAAGCTCGCGGTGGCTATCTGCTTTTCCAAAGTCTGTCATACACACAAGCGAGACAGAGGTTATGAAAACCAGTAGTTCACAAACCAAACAAACCATAACGCCGGCATCAGCGGTAAACAAACCAGCCAAGAGTTTGTGAATACAAGTATCTCAGAAGTATCGTCACTCGTGAGGGGGAATTTGACGAGAACTCCAAATACAAGAAATGTCAATTACCAGCTAGCTCCACTTCTGACCAATCTTAACATACCAGTCAAAACCAGAGCCATAATAATGAGGACTATCTTTGTACCAACGTAATATATATCAGTGAAAAACTTGGACCATTACCAAACTTCAAGGAAGCAACCTTCAACCATGTTTAATAATAATAATAATAATAATAGATAGCATTTGTATAGCGCATATCCCCGCTCAACAGCAGGCTCTATGCGCTTTAACGCCCCTAACAACTCTAGTAAGTTATTTTAGAGGTGGAGCTCCCTTCCAAGTTTAATTCCATCTCCAAAAGGATTGAGCCAAATGGGAAATAATTTTTTAAAGTCCCTTTCCCAGGGACACAACACTGGATCGAACAAAGACTCGAGCCCGCCGAAATCACAATCTCACGATTATGAGCTCGGTATCATAACAACAAAGCTACCACCGCCACAAACGGGATGCCTCAGGAAGAGTGTAAACAAGACAAGAAGAGACCGGGTCCGCAGCTCAGCCTACGAAGCAATAATAGTGTCTACCATACCAGACTGTGAATATGTTGCAAGGCAAATAATCAAATGTTTATGACAATTAATGTGCATGCCTCTTAATCAACCAACCTTTTAAATCAAATAGCCTGCATCATAAGAATATCAGGATACAGAGCGAGGGGAAAACACAAAAAGTTGGACTGGGGGAGTAAAGAACACGTAGAAAGCTCTCATTTTTCCCGTTCCAGGCTTTCCAGTTTGACAAAACCCGAAATCTCTATACCCTAAACAACTCATTGAATAAGCCACATGACGATACCTCAGACTTGCAAAGTTATATCAGCTCTGTGTTTTGTTTTGAGAAACTTACAATAAAAAATACCTTTTTATGTTGAAATTCTTAGAATACCTTGATAATGGCTCTGAATAATCTTACGGTTATGATTGAGCAGATGGAATATTTGTTGGGGTTTATTATTGCCTCATGGTCATAGATTCTAGATCTAGTAGATCTAATTCAAAATGGCCAAAAATGTCATATCATAGTCTAATAGAACTTTGCAAATTCTTAGGTGGCCATAATTTAGATCTTATTAACTAGGGTGAAATAAGTAACAAGGACATTTATTGGACCCCAATTTGGTGTCATGTTATTCAAAATTTAACGAAAAACCCTTGGGTTTTTATAGCATAATCTGAAATAAATAAGCAATACCCTTACCTTCACGGGGTTTCACACGCTGCAGACATGGCTATTTGATGGTACTAAAGACCTCCCAGAGCCAATCTCTCCTGCACAGGATTTGTTTTGGTTTACCATCCTAGACATGTCCGTGAAGGTGCACATTTCCGTTCAAAAGCGTGCTTAAACTTTTAGAACGCAAGTCTGCACACCAAAGAGGGAAAATTATCATCTTGTTAGCATGCTGTGTAATCATAAAGTTTTCTTTCTTGCATTTGTAAAATATCTTACTTCTGTGTTGAGCATTAAACTGTTTCGTTCTGGCGGGGTGGTTATTCAAAATGTGCCATTTACTTCATGTCTCTCCGCTTAATACTGCATGTAACAGCACACGATACACGCATTTGTTACATGTGATGAACAGAAATATTTTATAATTTCAATAGGAAGACAGAAAAAAGCAGACATTATTACAACATCTCATATTAGATGCATCACTCACACACTATGGATGAATTTATCATAGACTTAAAAAAAGAGGTATTAATATATTACATGTATATTTCGAGCATAGATTTAGCTAAAAACCAACAGAAATACAATTTAATGTTCATTTTGAGAGCAACCTTATCTCAGACGATGAGACATTTTTTTTGCATCTCTCTTTGTTTGGTTCTCGAAAGCATGCATTTACACAATATTAAAATTGCTACCGTAGAATGACAAAGTTTTATCTGACATTTTTTAGCCGTTTTGAGTCACCATGACTATAGGTCACACACCAAACGTTTTATCTGCTCTATCAAAATGGTGCGACTATTTGGGGTCGTTATCAAGATATTCAAAGAATTGCATTCGAAAAAGCAAAGCTTTGAAGCTATAATTTCTTTACTTCAAGTGTCTCAAAAGTAGGCACTGGGCAGATAGAACTTTGTAATTCTTGGGTAGCCAAATGTTTGTGGACAGCGGGTCAGAGAACAGAAAGCGGATTTATACCTGTGAGCAAGCGTTAAGTCACTGGGCACCTGGCAGAGATGGGATCCTCCACTACATTCTAACTGGTACCCAGTAATGAATCAATCCATGAAATTCAGATGTAAAGATTCGCCGCCAGATCCTTACAGTTCAAAATGACTCTTGACGCTTGACCAGGTTGTGGGATTATGATTGAGCAATACACGAAAGGGTATCTCTGTCAACACTGATCGGTATGTGAAGCTTCAGGGCATAGTTATTGTGAATCCGGCGTGACAAATATTATGCCATTCTCAATCATGACTCTGGCCTTCGTGATTCGACCCAGATTGCGAAAGAATTAACCACCTATTTCTTTCAGGCCAGACCTTGGCCCACTGGAAATTTGTTTTCTTTTTTTCCAAAGAACGAACAATATGGGAAATCTAGATCACTATATTCAGATATTAAAGCCGATATGTGTGGGGGGTGCAAAGAAGTTATTCTCTGGGTTTTCTTCTCACCCATTTGTTATTATCTTTAAAAAAAAAAGTGAGAACTCAAGTGATCAGGTAGTTGGAGGGCACCAGTGCTAGCTCCTATTCCCATGAGGTGTGGGCAGTTTGGTAATAAGGCTAGTGGACTCGTAACTGTGAGGCTGCGGGTTCAGGGGTTCGAGCCTCGCAGGCCCGACGTTGTGTCTTTGGGATAGGCACTTTACCTGTATTTTCCTCACTTTACCAGTTCGGAATGCGTACCCGCCCATGGACAGCGAAAAATCTTATCAGTATGTTGGTGTTTTAGCGCCAATAAAATGACACTTGGGGCTGTATACTTCCCAGGAAGTTGAGACTGTTTCAGGTTCATATTTGCTGAGGTAATAATATTATAGATTGTAAAGCGCAGAGAGCTTGCTCTTGAAAGGGAATTTATGCTATTTGAGTGCTATCTTTCTTTCAATATTTTTCTCGTAATTATTTATGTCTGGATGCCTTGCTCTTTATCGAGTACTCACTTTCCCTCTACGTGTGCTGTCAGGTACATACGGCAGAGCACAGTCGATGCGAATTCCCTGCACATTCCTCTACTTGTGACACATCCAAAGATCTGGGCAATCCCTTCTTCCTTGATCTTACAACTATAATATAATTAAAACTATAATTTTAACAATATTATAACTATAACATAACAGTTGATCTACGTCTTCTATTTTTTCCACTTGTTGTTCAGTACTATGTGATATGATACACTATTTCTTTTATAAATTTTCTAAACATGTCACAACTATCTCATCTTCTCATTTTCATTGTCGTGTTGATGTCTTCAGTTCCAGCTCTTTATAATATTTCACTTGACAAACGTTTTATAAGTAGATATTTTTATCATAAATGCAACCAAAAGCCAAGGCAATTGACGGTCAAGGACGATGACTATAATATAGACTTCAGTTGAAAAGATCATGTTTTAAGAAAGCTGAGAAAAGGGAATTTCAAAGTTTGAAAGTCCTTTCTTTCCGTAGTCATTATAACATTTCATTTACTTTACATACTACAGTACTTAGTTAGGTTATCCGTGGGATCATTGCAGACCAAGGTTCGCTTTAAAAATGTAAGGAATAAAAGAAAGAAAAAACGCCCTTTGGGTTTTTTAAAATTAATCGTAACTCGTCTGGTTCATCCCATGGAATCATTATTCCACCGATCAGTATCAGACTGAAGTCTTACTCCGGGTGCCCTTTGCGGATGGGATCGGGTCGGATCTGGTCGGGTCGGATCGGGTCGGGTCGGGGGTGATAGACCGACTCTTTGCCAGAATACAAACATGTTTGTTTTTGAGGCGACGAGTCGGGCGAGATCGGCTTGAGCCACGATGGTCATTTTACGTCCTCAATCTGGGTAGCAAACCGCCCCAACCCTACCCGATCCCCAAATGGGCACCCCGTAATCGTTGAGAAATATTTGAAGCATCATACACGAACAAGAAACTTGAGATACTTTATTATCAAAGTATACGTATTGTCCCCGGCCTTTCAAAGTTTTAAGTAAGGAAAACTGCTGAAGAAGTGTATTATATATATATATATATATATATACATATATATATACATATGAATCAGAAAATAGCTCTACATTTTAAAGTACACCAAAGCAGCGTCAATTTAAGCGTTGTGATAGGACGTGAGTTCTCAAAGGGTAAAGCAAACAACAGGAAGAGAAACATTTTCTGACCTTTCGACTACAGCCTGGTGTCCTCATTCAAAGACATTACCATTTGACACAAAGGCATTTCCTTTCCTTTCTTGGAGTATATTCAGACAGAAGGAGAATGGAATTGTCCGGCGAAAGTTGAGCCTTACCGTAGGGAGAAATCGCCTTAGTCTTTAAAGAGAAATAGAATAATAGAATTTGTGCTACAGCGACAGAACGCAGTCCGCCAGTCTTCTAAACTAAAGAAACGGCAGGCTATAGCGTGCATGGTGGTGATGGTGGTTGTGATTATGGTTGTGGCTGTACTCATGGGACTAAGGAGAAGAAGAAGAAGAAGAAGAAGAAGAAGAAGAAGAAGAAGAAGAAGAAGAAGAAAGAAGAAGAAGAAGAAGAAGAAGAAGAAGAAGAAGAAGAAGAAGAAGAAGAAGAAGTAGAAGAAGAAGAAGAAGAAAATGATCGACGAGAGACAGTTCACCAGAATCCCAACAAGTTCAAATCATGCACATTTGTAATTGTGGGTAGTGAATAGATTATTTCTTTCTTTCTTGTCATTTTGTCTGGATCCCATGGAAAAGGTTTCCTAGTATTTTCGTGTGCTGTCCTCATCTTGAGCTTGGTTTGTGCCTGCTTGCTCTAGGTGCTCCAGGCTCGAGTAACTATATTATAATAATAATACAATGTTTTATGTGTCAAAATCATATGTTTGAAACTAGACGAAAATGAAAAAGGAGGGGGCTTGGGCTCTCGCGGTCTAGAGGTTACTGTGTTTGCCTCTTATTCAACAGGTCTCGGGCTTGAAACGTGGCAGCGAAAGAAACGTTTTTTTTCTAAATATTTTCCTCCTTTCGCCTCCTTTTCTGCCCTCTAACAATTAATGTTCTGTTCTCTTCTTTCCTCTCCACTTTCTGCCCACACTGCCACCCCTTTGCCCCTCCTCGGGGCTCCTGACTCTTTCTGCAGCCTTTCTCCTGCTACTTCTTGCTAACTTCTTGCTAACTTCTTACTACTGTCTTTCAGCCACACCCCTGGGTTGGTAGGTAAGGTCTAATACCTAGCTTTCTCGGATAAGGGCAATAAGTCTCTATTGTCCCGTGTGCACGTTGCGCGTGTTAAAGATCCCTTGGTGATCTAAAATCGATAAGAGTATTCTTCGGCAAAATTCAAAATTAATTACTACCAAATCGAAATAAATGTTTAATCTCGCGGGCAGTATTGCATAAACACCTAAGTCATTTTTAGCAAACTTTGAGATTTACCCTGCGCTCTCAAATGACCTTATGCAGTTGTGAGGTCAGTAAAACAGTTATCAAAGAAAATAAAGATGATAAAAACCCAACCTATTCCGTTTAGCTGCATTCTGTATTGTAACCGACTTCACCACACGTTGGTGTCGGCGCCGTTCTCTTTTAATTCACCCATGAGATGTCCTAACTTTACGGTCGTTGTTTGAGTTTTTTTTTATTTGGAAATGTTTGTTTGCTTGTTTATTTATTTTTGTTAGTTTGTATTTTCTTGTTGTTGTATGCTTATTTTTTTGCTTGTAGTTTTTGTGTGTGTTGTATTTTAGCTTTTTAGGGCGGGCGGGGGGGAGGGGGGGGGGGGCTACACCTCAAAAATCCCGATTCGGCTCAGAACTAAGGATTTTAAGTTGTAGGCATTTTCAGTTTCTTCAGCCTCTCTTACAACTACTCCATTGCATACGAACCCCCTAAAGCGTATTTCTTCCCATATTGGGCATGTTTGTCACCACCACTTCGTTATAAAGTCAATCTTTTATTTTTCTTTATGACCCATTTTCTCGAAACGTGTTTTTTTCTATATACTTAAAAATTAATAACTCCACCATTTGTAATCCAATCTTCATGAAATTGGTACAGAATGAAGAAAAGATGTATCACTCAAATCTGTTTGATGAAATTTTGATAAATGGAATAGTTTTTGTCGGTGGTGTTTGGAATGTGGTTTCCACGATTTTTTCTTTGCAAACGTGAATACTACCCTCAGGAAAAAAAAATCATAAACATCTCTCTAGCACGTTTAGTAAAAATGCATTCCACAGGTTTGTAGATCTATTGTTGCTGAGATGCACGCAAAAAAGCAATGTATTTCCAAGAAATTTTATTATAAGTGCGATATTAATTACCTAAGACATGTC